ATTCAATCAGAAAAATAAAAAAGACTTAACACCCTATCTTGCTATGCAAGTTAACATTATCAATTAAATATTTTACCAGAATGCATCCCTGTTTTAAAACTTGGAAGTCTTAATCTTTTGAGGAAGGGGAATTTTGTGTAAGATAATATACTTTCACAATTCTGTTGCTGGTCCCAAGAATAAATAAATGATTTACAGAGGTGAAAGTAAAGCAGGGCACTGGTGACTGAGGTTACACAGCCACTCTTGGGATGTCTTCAAAGTATAAACAGCAAACAGAGAAAAGGTAAAAGCCAGTAAGTTCTACTCAAAATCCAGCAACATTCTCCAGACAGGCACTGGTATTTTGTGTAAGAAAGAAGCTCAGAAAGACCACACAGGAATTGTCAAGCCATAGATGGAATACCCTAAATTTGGATTCTGAGTAAACCTTTAACCTCACACCCCTTGGACAGAGGTACCTTGTTAATTTGCACTATATTATGAAGACTTATGTTGTGCAGAGTGAATGCCTTAGCTGCTCTGTCCCCTGGCACTGAGGGCAGAAAGCTTTGTGAGGTTTCCAGTGGAGCTGACCCCAAACCAAAAAGGCTGTGGTACGACCAGCTCTGTAGGTTAGTTTTGTCCCTGTGCTTAGCCTCAGCAGGAGGTGCTGCAGGTACTGCAGTGACAAACCCACCCCTGTGTTTCACTGGGATTTGCTGGAGTTCTGTTTCCAAGCGTGACCTTTCCTTTTGCTGACTGACCAAGAGATCTTTGATATGATCCGTGTGTTCTGTCCAACTGTAGGCTAGTTGAACGTCTGTAGGGTTGCCTGGAATGTCATTTGTTAGGTTATAAACTCACACAGATCTAAATGAAGGGTTCATGTTGTGTACAAATCTTGATTTCAGAAGTTTGAGACAATTGTGATGACATTTGTAAAACTTGTACAGATTTTTCACTATGTGCCTAGCTTTGGTGTCCATTCAGCTGAAATTAATTAAAAAAAGGTGCATGAAGAGAAACAGAAATAAAAAAAGTATATGTAGAGATGACTATTTTATATTACATGGCCCAATCCTGTATTTATTTTCTCCCTTTTTTGAAGTATTTCTAAAGACCTAGTTGAAACAGCTGTATTTTTTGTTAAAATATTCCGTAGAATTGTGCCTTTTGTCTGTATGTGAATAAATGCTGTACATTTTTGCAGTATCCTTGCCAGCAGTGGTTTAGACCTCCTCCTATTTGTATTTGGGTTCTTACAAATACACTTCACTGCAATGATCTGGACAGCTTTCAGGGATTAGTGCAGGTATCACCATGCACACTGCAGCTGCAAGATTTTGTAAAATTTAAGTTTTTTTTTTTTTAGGACTGCTTGTTACTGACAGCTGTGCCCATCCCAGCAACAGCACACTGTGGTTTTCCCCTTGGCATCCTCACAGAGATGTTGCTTACCTCAAAACATTTACATTTGTAGACAGAGGATATCCTTGTTAAGTCCACGATCTCGGTACATGTTCCACTGGAAAAGGAACCTGAGGTTTGAACCCTTGGATCTTTGGGATAATCAGGCTGAACGTTCATTGACACACTGAACTGGCTGGGGTCATGCATTACTGAGGGAACATTTTCCTGTATAGCAGGATTTCCAGGAGATGAGGATTCCTCTAAACTCCAGCTGCAGAAATATGGAATGGACATGGTGCTGAGAAGGAAAAGGCAAGGCAAGGCTGTGAAAGGACACACTGAGCAATCCATCTTGAAAAAAACACATCTCCCAGTGTGGGAGCAACATGGGAGCAGCCTCCTCTAGCCACCTCAGGGAAATGAAAGGAGGTGGTGGGTGTATGATGAGTTCCATGTCACCACATTCCTCCTTGTGATGAGGACAGAAACCTTTTCCTTTTCTGTGTCATCTGCTGGAATTGCTCTCCTGCCCCTTCCTTTGTGTCATCCCTGCAGTTCCTGTTCTGGCAAACAGCCACCAGGTAGGAGCTGCACCCCAAGGTGAAATGAATATAGCCATAATTAACAGGGAAGCATGCAGGTGCCCTTCTGTGCCTCCAGAAACAAATATCCAAATCCTGAGAAGTGCCTGCCCCTTCCAGCCAGGTTTCACTTCACAGCCAGAGCCTGCCTTTGAGGAGTGAAGGGGATTAATGGCTCACACAAAATCTTCCAGGTGGCTTGTCATCATCTCAGCTGTGCATTATGCAAATGGAAACAAGGTGCCTGGTACTTGCCTGCCTCTGTATCACTCTGCTGATTGATGAAAATCTCACCCAAACAGACACTTGGAGCTTCTGAAAAATGTATCCATGTTGTTTTGGAGAACCTTTGACATCTTTTAACTACAAGTGAGATTTAGAGATTGCAGTGGATCCAGGCATCTATCAAGAAGAAAAAGCATCTACTGTAGGAACTAGTGGCTTTCCCTGCAGCAAGTAGGAATTGTTTCTGAGGGTGTATCCATCTTGCAGGCTCTACCTGAACAGCCAAGATTTCAGGAGGCAGCACAAAGTCTTGTTTCCACAGGGAGATCAGCCCAGCTCTGTCCTCTAAAATGCAAATATGGTGAAGATCCACTGCCATGGACACACAGGTTTATTAACCCAAATGAGACATTTCCATCAAGCACTGGGCAACACTACCCAGCAGCTGCATGAGAGGTTAGAAACCAGAATTGCACTCTTCACATTTAAGTGGAAGGACAAGCAATTATGTCAGTTAAGGCCAAGATGTGAGCACTTCAAAATCACTCAAACACCTATCAAATGCTTGTAATATATGCTAAAAGAGAAAATGGAGTTTGGCTGTAATTGTACAGTGATAGCTATGACTTGTCTCAACTATCAAAAAACTCCATGTACATGAGGATTCCCACATCTTGGCATCTGTACAACTGAAACCCACTATTTCAGAAGGCATGATGGCTGGATGACTTCAGCTGTGTGCAAACTGAAGTAACAGAATGGAAGCTCCCAGATACGTCCAAACCAAGGCAGCAGACCAAGAGGAAAGTATGGAATTGCAAAATAATTATGAAATTGATAGTATAAAGCACAACTGCAGGAAGATTAGAGAGCTTAGAAACGAGCTGAGTAGTCATAGCAGCATTTTCATTATTAGCTGCTCTTTAGGGTCATCAAACCAAACCAAACTGAATTCTTCACACTGGAAGGCAATGGCAGCATCCTGCAGCTCAAACACTGACCACCAAAAGAGCAAATTGGCACTCATGCTGTACTAAGTCTAATTATAATTCACAAAGGATCTTCAAATTATTCCCAAGTTACCTGCACTATAAGGAAAAATTAAACATACTGACTGCACATGAGCAAAGCCAAGATGAATTTCAACAGAAGTATTATCTACTGCCTGTACACAATCTCATCACAGCTGGAGCTAGTGGATTTTAGACCAAAAAACCCTGAATGTGCCACAGCACTGTGTCAGATTTTTTCATTTGCTACATTGAAGGATTTGAATGACAACTTTTTGCAGTCTTCCTCCAATCTTTATTGTGCATACAGAGACAGGATCTTCATCCACTCCCTTTCTTACCAGACTCTGTCTTACAAGCCTTGCTGTGCTTTTGGCTGTAGTGCTCCAACATGAAGTTTCTCCAGCAACCTTCCTAACTCCCAACACGCTGAATGATAAAAACGCGTGCTTAAATATTTTCCAGATCCTTCAGGGAAGCAGCTTTTTTATTCTGTGTAGTTATCAGGCTGAGCTGTAATGAAACACAAGCAGATGATAGCTTCTTAATAATTGCTGTAGGATCAAAGTAACAGTAACAGTAGAACTTCCACACTGTGTCATGAAGGAGGGGGAACAAGCACAGGCAGTGTGAACAGCAGAATTTACAATATACTTTGTAGATGACTACTGCTTTTGTCTTAATTCAGATCCCAGAGAATACAAAATGATAGGTAGCAGGAATACACTTCAAAAAACATCTACAGGATAGATGTTTCAAATTTGTGCAAACATTATCTTGTATTTTTTATGTTTCTTACTGAATCATAATTTTTTCAGAATAAGCTAAGATTTACAGTCATTGAACTGACCACAATAGAAGTGTAATTTCTAGGCTCCCTACTAGTCCAGCTCTAGTCTATATTTGATACAATTTTACAGTGAAGGTGGATAAAGTAGTGAGAACACACAAGTCAGAAAGCAGCCCTCAGCCTACAGGTTAGGAATAGAGAAAATCAGCACTCTGAATCTGATGGAATTCACATGTGAACATTCGGCCTTCTGGGGCCTAGGAGAGAATAAATACCCAGATTCAGAAGAGGGGACATTCTTGCCGCAGTACTGGAGACTTTTAGCAGGGATAGTGCCAGTATGTATTTTTTTGGGGTGGAGAGAAAAAGGAAGGGGCTTGGCACAGCAGTTCTGAAATCAGTAGAGAGCAGCCAGGCCTCTGCAGTAACCTCTGCCATGAGGGCAAGGCAGTTCTGAAGTCTGGTAACAGCATTTGGGCTGCATAACATCAAATCTCTTTGTTATCTTTCGGAGAAAGCCTGGTGAGGAACAGCTAATTACCAATGTTTTCAGGAACAGCAAGACCTCTTCCTCTATGGGCACCAAGGCCATGAGTTTATTCCCTTGAAATGTGACATAAAGATGTTTGGGTTTTTATGGGAAGACAGCATCTTAGAAGCATTAGAGCTAAACAGATCCACATAACAAACACGAGGTTAAAAAAAAATAATAATTCCTCTTTCAGAGCAAATCTTCAGCAGCTGAATAGACCTTGTCATGACAGAGAGCATTTAGAGCCAGGAACCACAGCTTTTGTTATGACAGCTTGGCAGCTATGCCCATTTATTCACTGCTGTTGGGAAAAAAATTGCCATTTGTCCTAACTGAGCAACTTAGGTCAGCCAAACATCTCTCCTCTCTGCAGCTCACATGGGGTCACCCACATTAACAAGCTGTAATTTGCAAATGGTTTTCCTAAATCACTGTAAAAAAAAAAAAAAAAAAAAGGAAAAAAAAAAAAAAGGAAAAAAAAAAAAAAGGCAAAAAAAAAAAAAAGGCACGAGACAGAAAGACCATCTTTACTTAATAGGAGGCCAACTTGAGTAATGAAGTTCCTTGGCAAAAAAATGAACTCAGTGTATAAACCCCCAATGGGATTTGCTTCAAGTTGTACAGCTGAAACACTATGGAAAAACTGAATACCAGGAGGGATACACTCTCTCTCCTTTACCTCTCCAATGGCCTGGAAAGAAACAAGCATTTCCTACTCTTCACAATTTTTACCACTGCAGGAGCTGCTGCAGCTGTTACACAGAGCCAATGGTAACTGCAGTGGGTGCACTCCAGCAGACCAGCAAACAGGAGCTACAATTATTTAAGGGATTTTTGTCTTTGCTAATTTGCCTTTTCTAAAGCTGGAAAGGCCTGTACGCCTTCATTCACACATTTTGAACTGTGCAGGTTTCATTCATATGAAACTGTTTCCACAAACAAACCTAAGCTGTCAAATAAACATCCTGTCAGAAGGTGACATGTCCAAAATCCAAGCTTGTTAAAATCGTGTTGGTAATAATGCTCACCAATGATCACCTCTGCCTCAGGAATGATGTAAAGTGAGCACTTTTGCATATTCCATGTGCTTGGATAACACTTTTTGTGAGCTGGGTACCTGTTGGGATGCTGTGGCTGCTCTCTGTTCTGCCTGGCTCAGCCTCTTCTGAAGCCTGTCGATGTATTCCTGATATTCCATCATCAACGTCTCATCCTGTGGAAAGAGAATCTCTCATCACAATGCCAAGTTCTTTTTCACTGAACCAACTCATTCAGTGGATAAAGTAGCAAAAAAAAAGCTTAGCACAAGAGGAATGTCAGAAGTGGAACTGTTTTCCCCTTACAATAAAAAGCCTGAGGACAAACTGCTGGCACATCATAGAGAATTTCCAGCTCAAATGTGACATGATCTGACTTTTCCAATCAATCAATCTGCAGGGGAAGTTTTACTCATTTCACCACCTTGAAGCAAGATGGATTAAGGCTAACATTTTAATTCAGGTTATTTAACCCATGCAACCTTACAACATAAATGGTTTAGCTATTTAGCTCAGAAGAAAGAGGAATACAGTAGGTAATACAAATGGGAATATATAAAAATGTAAATCTGCTACAGATCTCCTCTGTTCCCTTCAAAGGGTCTGTAAAAAGCCTTTCTTAAACAGCCTTTACTCACTTCTCATATAATTTTTGTCCTCTAAATAACACAGCACTACAAAAAAAAAAAAAAAGACAGAAGGACTTATCCTGGATAGAACTAGATGTTATTCCAGATTTATAAGGCTGACAGGAAAGCCCTTTCCTAAAGTGGCCATTAATTATTGAACAATGCACATTCCAAAACAACCCTGCCCTTCATCTTTAATGGATAATGCTTTTAGCTATACTCATATATGGACACAGAATGTAAATTCTGCATACACACAGCACGTGGAGAACTTGGTGTCTGTATGTGCCACATTATGCATAATCCCAGTGTGCCTGCTCCTGCTTAGGGGCTTGCAGGGTTTCACAGGCAGAAGTAAGTTCAGAAACAATTCCTGAAACTTGTCCAGAATTGCTAGATTAGTCACTTAGAAAGACAGAAAGATGATTTCCCCTTTCACTTTTGCAATTTGAGAGTAAAGTTCATTTGTCTTCCTGCCATTGAAACACGTCAGTCAGCAAGAAACAGTGAGGCTTCCCAACAGTTACTGACTATCCCTGTCAAAAAATCCTTAATTTTCTCTAAGCCAGCAACATAACTCACCTAAATAGGTTTCTGCTAAGATCTTAAGTGTATGCACATCAGGTTGTAACTGAAAGTAGCTGTCACATCAGTCATTATCTTACCTCAGTTACCTTCTCATTTGCTATTTCCAGCTGGGAAATGAGCTCCTGGCCACGGAGTTTTTGTTGACGCAGCTCACTTCTGGGAATCAGAAGAAAAGATGCCGATTGGCAAACAGCAGTAGTACTTCAGTTATTGGAATGTAATTTCATAGATAGTTCCCTGAATTGTGGAGGCTTTTGGTGGGTTTTAATTACAGGGTTACTCTTAAAACACCCATTTCAAAAGCACCACACAGCACTTCTTCATGCTGTGCATTCAAAACTGTAATGGCAGAGGAACAAGATGTATTTGTTGGAATCAGCAAGACTTTGTCAAGAGCACTTGATGTTTCACAGGGTTTTTTTCCCTGTTTATTGAATCTTTTTTTGGAGACATGCTATCTAGTATGCAATAAATATAAGCTGCATTTTGCACAGTAAATTCAGTATTGAGATTAACATTCTAATTAGTGTTCCATAACCAGACCTCAATGTAGTCATTTTTAAAGGTGCTTTGAAGTACCTAAAAATAAATCATTCTATACTTGTGAGACAGACAACAATGTGACACTTTGTGAGGAATAGGAAAACACCACCTACTTCAAAGCAGTCTTTTTACTTTTATACTGAATGAGTTTTACTGATCCTCAATTTACACAGTATTGAAGACAAAAAACATCTGGGTTATGACAGACAATTTCTGAGCTAGAGCCTAAAGGAAACAGTTCTTGCCTTCTGTCAGCACAAGAAGAGGGATGACTAAAGACACAACTCCAGTAATTTTGGCCAGGGAAAGATGCAAACCTTAGTGAGCTGCTCTAACCTCTCACCAGTCTCTACCACCTCACCTTAAATGCTCTACCTGTTGCTGAAACTGCATGGGAAGCTAAAGCCTTTATTCTTTTTGAGGGAATGGAGGTAAGGTAGCAGATACTTTAACCTCAGATTTTCACCTATTTTAATGATGACAATTAGTTCTCAACAATCATCTGCTTTTGTAAACTTTTAAACTTAGTACTTGGTAAAAGTCTGAAAACTGATACATGGCACTTGAAATACAAGGTTGCAATGCATGTGTAACATCAGGCCGCCACTACATCTGGTGAGGAGTTTCCACTCACCTGTTCTCAACCCACCTTCTCAACCTCTTTCACCAGTCCCAGTAGATATCACAAAAACTTCAACAGCTTTAAACTTTTATAGAAATTAAAGTACATGGGCAGATATTTAAATGTTGTTAAACAGTTAAAATCACATTTAGGTTATACTTGTTATCACACGTGAACAATTCTATATAAAGTAAGAATTAAGATTGCAGGATCAAGACAGTATGTTAGTATGTAATACTATTTTTGTAATTTGTTCTCTGTAATTAGTACTAAGCATCAAATGAAGCATTTTCAATATAGGAGACCAATTTTTAGGTGCCCTAAAAATTCTGAGTTACTGAAAGGAGCCTGTCTCCTGTGCTTTTGCTGAGGTGTGGAATTAGCATGCTTAGCAGCACAGACCATAAACAGAGTTTACAGGCTCATACACAGCTGTGATCAAGAAATTATTTTTATAATGAGATCACACCGCACACATATTTAGAAAGAAACAGTTTAACCTTGTAAGCATCAGGAAATGTGATGGCTATTGAGCTAGACAGTTGATTCATTCTGAGTGTTAACCCTCCCCCAAACACAACTTATGAGATCTCAGAACTGAGCAATAACCCCAACTGCTGGATAATTACACCAGCCCCCACTGCACATTGTCTTTGCTAAGTGAGTAGGAAACAAAAGGTGAGCTTCCAGCATTTCAGCAGACGGGTGATAAATCCACCAGCTGCAGCAAGTACTTTCTGCAAAGCTCTCATGACAAATATAGCATGTGCCAGCTGTTTTTTTTTGTTGAATTATACTATATTATGCTTCAGTTACTCTTAGTAATTATGAATTTTGTATACTGCCAGTACCTGCAGCTGTCTCTCATCCTGGTAATTTTTTTTTCTTTAATGAACATCTTAAAATAAGCAGCTATGGCTGCCAAACATTGCACAAGTGCAGCCAAGAATAATGTTTCAGAAAAAGAGGCAATTTCTTCATCTCAAGATGCCACGCAATTCACTCTATGTACTCTACAGGATACAGAGAAAAGCATTCACGGCCAACACTTCATATATTGCCACCAAAAAAGGTCATTCCTCAGAGGCAGACTCTTTTCAACCACAGGAAAGATAAAAACAGAGAACTCCAAACCCCACACATGCCTACTAATGAGTCAGGGACTCTAACTATGACAAAGAAATGTGTCAGAGGCAAAAACTGGAACAAAGACACCCAAAATAGCTGCAGTCAGATGGCTTAAGCTAAGCAAAGTCTTTAAATATAAAAACAATATAGCAAGGATTCCCTTTTGTTAAGTACTGACAATTATAATGCAAGTGACTATTAAGGAAATGAAGCCATTCTGCATAGTTAATCAAATAAATGGGTTTATGCTATAAGTGTCTTTTATTTTTTTCCCCACAAAAGGTTATATCTTGCTACTAGACCATAATGGCAGATGAATAGGATTATTACCTTAGTTTGTTCACACTGTGTATATTTACTGCATTTTATTACTTCTGTAATTAAAGAGTTCACACTTTAAAGCTCCTCAAATGCAATGTTTCATAGAAACAAACATACCCCCCCTTTATTGTTTAAGCCAATGTTTATAAATTGTTTCATGCACTGTTTTGTAGAACAGACCTGTGTACACCTATTTCTATCCCTATTCAAGCTAAACTCTACCTAAACTGAGCAATCATCCAGGGGTCTGACAGGCCAAAGCAATATCCATGGCAAAGTCGAGAGAACTGTCAATTTCCTGTCAGGTTTTCAAGTTAGAGGATTGACCTTTTTCCCTGTCTGCAGCTGTCCAGATCTAGTCCACTGAAGGGCATTCTGATTCAGTCATTTGATTCAATATAAAACTTTGTTTATCCATGTGAATCTTAGAATTGCTCCAACCAGAATCATGTTCAACAAAAATAAGCTCTCTGTGTTGGCCACTGGTGAAGAGTCTGGCAATGGTTTATCTGCTTACCTGCAAAATTCTCTATTTACCCCAACTTTTCATTCTCAGGGTGAGAACATAAAAAGCTACAAAAAATACAGATACTACAAAAAATACTGATACTACAAAAAATATATGCCAATGAGATGGCATATATGTTTAACCATCTTTTGTATTTGTGCATTTATCTACAGACCTGTAAAGGTGGGCTTTACAGAACAAATCAATCATCTGCCCTTTATTTTTAAAACTTGCATACAGTCTGTCACTTCATTTTATTTGAGCAGAGGCTGGCAGACTGAATTACCCTGGTTTTGCCTGAATTCTGCTGTCAGAACTGTCTCTTTCAACCCTTCCCACTCTACCCTCTGTTCTGTTTTTACTGAAGTTTATTTCCTTCCAATTTACAAATTTCTAAACATCCCTTTGGTATTGCTGATTCCACTTCCTATGTGCTGTCATTTATTCTCCTCAGCTGAAGTCTGAAGAGCTACAGAGCTGTGCAGTGATGCTGTAAGGTAACAAGAGCAGTCTCAGCCAATCTCTTTCCCCAAATGTGGCCAGAGTAACCATTCTTCTGGATTATAGTGCTTCAGTCAAAGCAAGAGCCTTTAAAAACTTGTGTATGATTTCCTCACTTCTTTCAAAAGTAAATTCGTTCAAATGAAGACAAGAAAAGTAAAAATCACTTAACTGATGTTTTTTAACCATGGCAGATCACCTTAAATTTTTGGGACATTCAAACTGAGAGCCTAAAGCTTTACAATTGGAAGCTCTACACCCTGTAAATCAGCAACAACAGCCACAGGGATTGCTTCTAGTTCTTATCAATTCAACACCCCTTTGTGGAGAAGAGACACTGGAGATCAAAAAAGCTTTTCAACATTAAGTCTGATTTGGTTATTTAGATTACTTGGACAACATTCCACATATACGGGAGAAGAAGGAAAGAATAAATTATTAACTCAAGAATCAGTTAAACTAATGAACATAAAATATGTCAATTATTCACCAAGACTTAGAAGCTCTTTTCATGTTATGAAAGAAGTTTGACAGTTTTATAACATTTCTATACTTGTTTTCCAATTAAACCCCTATAAAGAATATGAAAGATGACTTTTTTTACAACTTTTTACAGTGATCACTCACTTTATACTATTTTACTACTATTTTATAATTGTAAACATTTGCTGTCTAAGTTGACTTCAGTACATATCATGAGAACTCAAAGTACATTTAACATGGATGCAATGAGAGGCCAGAGCAGTTTGGTTTCTGACTCTGTGTAGTAGACACTGTGGGAATAAAGGGAATAAACTTGGCAGTGAGTAGTTGGCCATGCTGCCAAGAGCAAAGTTTGTATTTGGAATGATGACCTGTGTCACCAGGAGCAGTGACCTCCCTAGTTACCTTCAGGGTTGACTGGCACAAGGAGTGAAGCAAAACTGGCTCCTTGCCCTTCTGCAAGGTGAGGACGAGGTCTGTTACCAATAAATTCTCCTTAAGAGGCATGCAGCATCTTAAGAGGCTCAGAGGGAAGAAATCTTTTCTCATAAATGAAGACTAAAACATTTGTATGAAGAAAATGTAAATGTAATTTAGTCTACAAGTATTCAGTGCACTGCCTCCTGCTTCAGCACTGGTTCTGAATTCCAAGTTCAGTTTTATCAGCAACAGTTACATGTTTAACTTGAATGAGATCTAAAGGTCCAGAAAAGCACAGAATAATTTTCAGTGAAGCCTGGAAGTATCAGTTTTCTTATCAACACTTCTATCTACAGTTTTTTCATTGATCTACTAGATTCTTATGGTTTTTTACATTACATGCTCTACCATTACTGTTTGCAAAATTTACTTTTACTTCTTCAATTTTTTTCAGATCAAAAACCCCCTAACATTCACTGCTGCTTCATTTCTTAGAATTATTTAATGCTTCCTTCACCAACAAAACCCTGCAGACTTAGAACATGACAAATGAGCAGCACAGAAAGTGGAAAAGTTAGCAGCTGCTGCTGGTAAGTTTAATAAAGAAGCCAAAATGCTTCAGACACCTTCACAAGGAAAATGAAAGCAATGAGGACAGAACTGGAAAACCACCATGATTTTCAGGCAAAGGAAAGGGAAACACCTACACTAACAAATGGGACACTGAGTCAGTGTTTATGGGAGCTGCACTAACAGCAGCCTCCTGGTGGAATGCAATCTAAAATGCTTCCCCCACACACATGGATAGGACTTAGTTAGGAAGTTTCTAACTTCCTAAAAAACCACTCAGCTATAAAACACATTAGCATGCTGCAAGAGTAATGAGTCTTGTTAAAAACTGTATTTTTGTTAAAAAAATTAATTCTGCTGCATGTCACCAACACATCCTCTGCATTTGCTCAGGTATTTACATTTACACCACCACAAGGCTTGGTGAGAACATTTCCTGCATTACCCTCAAGAGACCTTTCAAGCACAGCATTTAATTAACAATAGATTAATTAATCCATTACCAGTATCAGTCGTATTTTGTGTTCTTAATGAAATTTACCTGATAAATGCATTTGCTGCAAAATTATTCTGCTTTTTAAATAATCAGCAACTCGATTTTAGTTCCCAACACAGTAAGAAGCTATTTGCTGCTCTATACTTGCACTCAAAATATTATTGTGATAGATGAAAATAAATATGATAATTATACACTTATAGTATAAGCAAGGACTTTTGTGCTGAATAACTACTACAATGTAAATTCTGGAGCCAATTTTCATACCAACATTCTGCACTACATTGCTGAGTGTCTGGCAATGCATACAAGGTGAAAACTAAACTGGCTTTAAAATTTCCAGATAATACTGATAAGGTTCAGTTAGACTACTTGTCACCATGATATCAGAGCATCACTGCACAGATTTAACACCGGATTCCTGATGCCAGTCTAAATGACAACCTTCCTGTTTCTATTGCCAGCTTCCTTGCCAGGTAGAGCAAATGCCTGATAAAGACTTCTATTTCTAGCTTATACAGTTTGAAAAGGCATAACACACAAAACCATATCATAAAGTAACTGATTAGCTTTTAGACTTGCACCAAAATATCTACTGAAGTCACATAAATGGGAACATTTTCAAGATTTATTACCCACTTTTCATCCAGGTTCACAAAGCAGACTTCCTTGTATTTTCTATGTCAGCATTTTGCTGCAGATAAATAAGGTCTAAATCTTTTGGTCTGCTGTAACAACATTTTAGCACAGAACAGTAAAGGTTTTAGAGGGAAAACAGCTATGTCACAGGTAACTTTAATTATTTTGGAAGTCTGCAATTTTCACCTTTTAACTGGAACTCGCTGAACCACATCCAGGATCTAGTGATGAACACAGATGCTCAGCTGTGAAGTTTTGTATTTTGATTTACAGAAAATAAGCTACAAGTTTAAGAGCTAAAATTTACCTTAGCATGAAAGATTGCAAAATAATTTTCTTCTCCAGTTACTGCATTTACAAAAGATGCTAAAAAAGTAAGAGCCAGCTAATTACATAGAGTGAAGCTACACCACTTAAACTGTCAGTGAATCAGCACAGCTCCCAGTGTCTCACAAACAGGCTCAATGCTCTTGTCTTCTGAAAGAGACTTTTTCCTTTCCTAAAGAACTGTTTAATAATAACCTTTGCAAAATGCAGGATGTTTTAAAGGAAAATAAAGCCAGCCTGTATTTGAACAGATAAGGTAAAAAGCCCCCTGTAACTGTTTGCTTAGGGAAGGTAAAGATGAGCACACACTTCACTGCAAAGACGTATTTCCAGGTTAACAGTAGTGGCAAGGTAGATTTTCCTGGCTTGTGTTTAGAGAGCTGGGTTCTAATTCCACTCACACCACTGGAATTTTGACAGCCAAGAAATGCCAAACTATGCTTCAGAAACTGGAACTACAGAAACTGCATGGGATAATAGAAATATGAGTGAAGCTGAGAATATGTAAAGCATTACATTAACAATAAAACATGAAAAAATCCCAAGACTACCCCAAAGGAAAGGAAAGGTAGAATTCACAGGTTCCCAATTTTAAGAGGGAAAAGCTTTGCTTCCATGTTAATGTGATAGTAAAGCAATTTCTAAAATCTAAAATTTTCCAAAATACTCTGAGCACAGAACCACATGAGTGCATCACTTTAAATGACTAAAGGGCTACATAACCTGAATTTTTGTTCTCAAACCCACTGAAAAGTAATGCAATGTTATATTCCTAACTACTTTAATTTTAAAGAAATTGGGAAGCCTTATTTCATAAGTCTATTTTAGCAGTTGTAAACCAGTGTGTCAACCTCCACCAATTTTTAACCAGTTTTGAAGAAGAGATCTTGAGGACATACTTCTCTACAGTTCTATAAAAATACCAGTCTAATCTCAAATTAATAGCATACTTGAGCTAACTGACAGCATTTCCTGAGACTAGAAATGAAATGAAGTATAGGGGAAACTTGCAAAACTGAAAATATTCTTGTATTCTACACTGCAAAATACAAGCATCAGCTTAGAAATGTGGATGAATTAAAAGAAAAGTGAAGTTTATACTGTATTTTTTCCTTAGGAGAATCACACAACACATTTATATCTTCATTTATAACAGCAACTGCTCAGAACAGGACATTTGATGTACATTCCAAGAAGCTTTTGTCCAGTTTATTTTAGAAGTCTGGAGATTCACTCCACAACTGATGTTATGGCTTTTCTGATTCACTCCACAACTGATGCTATGGCTTTTCTGAAGAGGTACAGAACTTCTCATAATCCAAAATAAAAATTGTCTAAATGGAGTGTATCTTGAAAGAGAAAACCCAAAAGTAATAAATTCCATTTGCTTTTTGTCATTACAAAACCTCACACGTTATCAACAAGATAACGAAACAGTGGAAGTTTTCCTTCAGTGCTAACTTCCCAGAGAGCATTACAGGTTCTGTTTAGATCACTCTTTGTTTTCCTGCAAGCACATCTTTGAGTCTGGATGGTTTGCTTTTCATGGTTTTTCACTACAGGCCTACTGCCATACCCCAAACAGTATCTGAACCACACTTTACAGAAGGAGAACAAAACTGCACTTACTTCAGCTTACTGATCCTGGCTTCTGCAGTTTCAGTGAGGTTTTTTGTTTCTTCTTTCCACCTGTTTGTTGCTTTTTGCTGAGCGACTAAGAGACGTCTGAGCTCAGTAGTGGACTTGTGACTGGTGTCCTCCATCTCCCTGAGTCGAGCTTCATACCCATGCTCTTTCACTGCATGCTCATGCTCCATTGTGCTTATCTAAAAAACCCCACAAATTCAGTGCAGTCAAATCTGTCACTCTTTACCTTTTTTTTTTAATTTGTTTTGCAACGCACTAGTTAAATTTATAAACATTTGTTGAAAGTGTGTAACATACAATAATTAAACTTCTAATTATATGCTCAGAGATATGTGTTCCCAAAGCCAATTTAAGCAAATAGGACAACTGACAATAAAGGATAATGAGCTGTGTATGCTTATTTTTGTAAGTAATCTTTATTCTTCTCCCTTGTGTTTCCACCACAGAAACAAGTTGGTTCTTTTTCATCTAGCTAAATCTGTTAGGAGTTTCATAACTGCATCTGCAGTCCTTTGTACATCAGAGGGAAATGAAATCAAGCAGTGAATCTTATCTGTGACTGTAATGGAAGCCTGCCTGATTAAAAATGAGACACACAGAGATTTAGTATATGCTTTCTGTGCTTCATATCCACCACCTCTGTTACAAGATTCTCATCCTTTGTTTAAGCAAAGGGTTCTGGACTTGTACAAGAGTCCCTGTTCAATTTCACAGTTTTCTTTATCTTGTAGTGCAAAGTGGAAGCCAGACCTGAGCTGGCCCCCACTCACACCTTGTAAAACTGCTTACTGAGGTTGTCTTCATTGCTCCACATCCTCAGATCCCTTTCTTTGGTACCTTTACACTGCAGAGGCGAAAGGATCAGCTTTGCATGCTCAGAAAGCACATCAAGGATGAAAGCTGTTCCTCCCTCCAGAAGCCACAGGTACCCTGAATCTGTTGAGGTTACTTCGGATTCCTTATTCCACCTGCAGCCTGCTCAGGGGCATTTAATGGAACATGTTCAAAAAGAACAAACCAGCTTGCAGCTAATAATCCTGTTTGCAGCTAAGCATAGAGAACAATTTCCTCTGTCCAGAGAATAAAAGCCAGTGCCTGACAGCCACACTATTTAACTATTTATTATTTATTTGTTAATATTATTAAATGTATTTATTTACACACTGCCCTGACAACATGGTGGACACACAAGTAGAGGAACACTCTGGGCAGAAAGTCAGACAGACAAAGATTTCTGACACATTAGAGACAATAAATAAACAAAGATCGGGAATTGCATTATTTAATCTATTCATCCTATTTAAAGCAAAGAACATTGGGGGTCTTCTGATCAAGGAGAATTTAATACACATTAAAATACAATTTAATTAGCAGAGATTGAGTTCCCCCCATGGATTCTGAAGGCATACAATACAACAACAAAACTACTTTTAAGCAGCAACCAGGAAGCATCACTGAAACTCTCAATCTTAGTTTAAACATTTTATGCTTTTTTTCTTAAAGCTGCTGCCTTACTAAGCAAATATTAGTCTTACATTACAAAAAAATATAATAAATAAAACATACCTTTATTTTAGCTTTTTGTTGGGCCTCTACTGCCAGTTTTCTCAAACCCTCCATTTCATTTTGCAATTGCTCATTCTCCTGCTGAAGTTTCAGTCTTTGTTCACTGACAAAGGCACTCTTTTCTCTTTCTGAATCCAGAGTGCTTTGCAATTTACAGATAACTTCCTGGCAACGAGACTTCTCTTCCTCAGAGCTAAAAGAGAAGGAAAGCCTGGCTGCAATGAACAACTCCTGAACCAGAGAATGAAAGAAATAAACTGGGAGCTACACACAAATCAGCAAAGAACTTTATCATGATGATAACATCAATCTTCGTCTCACAATTATGGTATCTTGATACTACGTCTGCTACTGAATAAAAAGATTTGACAAAGCCCTAACAACACACATTGAAAAGTTTAAATAGCCCAAGTAATTTCCACTGCTTTCTCTTCTTACTTCTGTAAACATCTGTAACATCACTTACTTCATTTCCAGTTGTTTCAGTTTATTTTGTGTCGTCTGTAGACTCCTCTGCAGGTCATCCTTGGCAGCTTCTGCAACTAAATACTTCTGATGCAGCTGCTCGAGCTTCCTGCTGTCAGATTCATGCTCTCTGTGCTCCCTGTAGATCTGAAAAATAAATTTAGATGTCAGTTTACTCCTCATTGCATCCTATTTTTCCATGATTTAAAATAAAACTGTGTTTCTAACATTGTTGCTGCCACTTGAAATAGAGAAAAGTTTCCAATGATCTGATCAGATATTTACTTTGTTTTCTGTCTATTGATCTTAACTGGAATATGTACCAGCATTCTTTTGGTTATGTTAAACATCTCTTTTTTACTTTTTTCACTTTTCAAAGAACTTTCATTTTCAGTTTGGTGTTACAGCTTTAAAAACCTTCTGGATTTAAAAAAAAAAAGAATGCAAACAACATTAAAATAAACATATGAAAATTTACAATTGAGAAAATCTACTCAAAAATAAGAAATTAAGGGAGAAATACATGAAAAATGGAAAACAATCTATGTATTTTTCCTTCTGTAAAAAGATCTTAAATGTGATGTAAAATACATACAATTGCCTTACCTTTTCAAGTTCTTCTTCCACTGCTCTCTTCTCTCTAATGGCTCGTTCAATTTGGCTTTGTTTCTCTCCACATTCCTTTTCATAAAAGTAGTTTTTAAATAAGATTTAATAAATGAAAATAAAAATTCAGGAAGTGCTAAAGCCAAACCTCACCCAGTGTAAATGCAGCTCTTGCTGCTGCCATGAATGCATTTGATTTTGTTTACCTGCTCATTATTTCCTCTATAGGATCATTCAATATACAAACCAAGACACATCAAATGAAATATTTTAAAAATAAATTTAATGCATAAATAGATGCACAAACATTGAATTCTTATGATCATCTGCATAATTTGTTACAAGTTTCTGGTTCATTCAGAAATAGGATGTCTGTGATACAAAGACTTTCTCTTAGGATACTTTCTCAGCTTTCATATCAGCTTTCCTTTCTACACACACAGCTACAGATAAGCAAGGTAGGCTGAGTTTAGTGTATCTCTGAAAGAAACAGGGATACTTAAGTGTCATCACATGGGAAATATTTTCTAGAGCACAGATCTCACTGTCAAAATGCCTGTGAATTCATCTCTGGAGACATGCAGGATGTGCTACACAGCAACAGAGGACTGTCCTACACAATTACTCATTAATCACACATTGATTGACCTAAACTTCTAGTCGAAGTATTTGATCAGTCAGGATGTGCTACACAGCAACAGAGGACTGTCCTACACAATTACTCATTAATCACACATTGATTGACCTTCTAGTCGAAGTATTTGATCAGCAAAAGTCTTAGTTAAAGTCTTAGAAGTCTTGAATGTTTTGCTACTGAAAATATTTTTATCAATGAACTCCATACCATCTGAAGAGCGGAAACTTCTTCTGTCAGCCGAGAAAGCTGCATGTTACATTGCTTCTTTGCAGTGTCTACCTGTGACCACAACAAAACTACAGAATTAGTCCCACAAACTACTTTTCCATCTTGCTTTTTAACATAGAAATGTAATATGCAGGTGGTGCCTGTATATAAAGCATGAAAATAGCTGGGACTGCAATAACCGACAGCTCTTATGACATAAATGTTACAAGAATGATTATTACCAATCCATACTGCTTTAACTGAGGGTGTTTAGGAGAAAAAAAGCACAAATGAAGACAAGTGCCATTCACATCTTCACAGAGCAGCCTTCTCCATGCCAGTGTCTGCAGAGACACCAACAGTTCTGCTTCTTGTTTAGAACACATGTCTAAACAACAAATGCTGAAGAGGATGGTGCTATCAGCATGCTGCCTTGTCACTTGTCCAAACTCTTGTGAGAAAACTGCTCGTGATGACCATGCACCAGCAGTAGCTTTTCACTCTGAGGAAAACCAAAAAACCTTCCCATTCTTCCTGAATGTCATAACTTACTTCTTTTCTAATTCTTGCAGCAGTATTTTCTGCAAGTTGAGACATTTCATCCTGCAGTTTTTTGATCTCTTCTTCCTTTTGTTTCTCCCCAAAGAGTGCCTAGAAGAAAAACAACAAAACTAAATATGACTGATATTTCAGTGTGATACTAAGAGTACCAAAAGAAAAACCCACACTGCTCAAAAGACACCTTCTTTTCCCTTTTACTTTGGAGCAGCTGACACTGAAAACATGTGGCACTTAATGCACATTCTTGTAAATCAGAACCACATAAAACGTTAGTGTCAGTAGATGCCTATTTCTACTGGGACTTGGAGATTTTGGCTGAGCATGGAATTATAAAGAAGAAAGGACAGCAACCCAGAGCAAAATTTCCACCTCAATCTTCTGCAGAGCAGGGAGAAAACAATTTAAAAACAAAGTATTAACAAATATGTATATTAATGTGGGTATTTTTTATTCTGTTCATTAACTGAATTTCTTTTTTCCTTATGTTCATTGAATTTTCTTCCCAATTTGAAAAAATCAGGATGTTTAAGCCAGAGCAGTAAATTAAGAATTGTCTGCTTTGTTTTGGCTCCATGAGCCATGTTTTCATATCAATATTTTTGGCATAAATGTTATTCTATGACAGTTTAATCACACACTGTATATAAAAATTTCTTTTAAGAAATTAACTCCACATGTCTAGGTTCCTTTGTTGATGACTCTGCACCTTGCTTGTTTCCTATGTCTTGTACTTATATATTCATAACAGAACCTTTTTATCCCTGACACCAGTATTTGGTAAGAAACTCTGAACTCCTGTCAAAAACTTTGGAAGATTAGTGCTTAGGTACAGTGTTATCACTTAGATGACCTTGATCCAGGCACTCAACATGTGCTTTGAAGTTTATACTGTATGACAAATCTGATTGATGACTGGTCACATCCCAGTTTGCTCTCTGTGCATGACTAATTTTAGCACAACAGACACAAAAGAAGTTAGCTTGTGTATCCTAAATATCCTAATTTCTAGGAAATACCTTCATCCAATGACTTACCTGACTTTTTTGCAGGTTAGCTTCTTCCAAGAGCTGTATGCAATCTTGGACTTTTGCAACAGCATCATATGTCTCACTTTCTAGATTGGCAGACTTAGCCTGAAGCTCTCTGATCTGTTCCTCCAGGGCTACTTTTTCTGTTCTCAGCCGTTCAGCATCTTGAACAGTCACACACAATCTACAAGGCAGTAGAAATTTGACAATGTGATGGTCAATTAGGACACTGATCCATTCAAACTGAGATATTAGTAAGTACTATTCATAAATTGCCCAAATTGCATTGTTTTCTGCTTGTTTTTGGACAGAGTGTTTTGAGTTTGATGATCAATCAAGTCCTAGAAAGAAATAGAATTATAGATGTTAACTCAGATCTCTAATCTCAGAAGATCCTTAGAAGAATCCCAGTGATATCCTGGGATACATCACTGAAAATGTTCTATATTAAACCAGAATAGAACAGCCCCAGAAAAAATAAAGTTTTCCTCTGTGGAGGAAACTGAATAATTGGATGTGGGCAATGAAGTTGCAGCTATAGTTTTCAAGAAAGAAAACCACTGGTAATTTCACAACAGCGCAGGAATTCATGTTGTTTAATTATGATTGTCAGTATTGGCAGGCATGAGAAATGACAAGAGAGCCTCAGAAGGATCATCAAAAAACATCTCTTTGTTACTTCCTTACCACAAAACATGCAAGGACAGAAAACCCCTCTATTTTTGTAGAGCCAGGGTATAAATTTTTGCATGTATCCTATTAGTAACACACAGGGAGCTCTCTTTACCTTATTTCTAACTCTTTTATGTTAGACTGCATTTGCTGCAAGCGTTTGTCAGATGCTGTTTCTCTCTCCTGGGCAGACATCCTGTCTTCTTCCTGGAAAGAATGAAAGTATTATTCAGCCTGATCTGAGCTGAGCGAAATAAAGATATAGTCACATAAAACAAGCTAGACAACAACTTGCAGTTCATTTAATGCCAGCATTCAGAAAATGACTGCCCACTCAGTTGCAACAGAAATTATTCCTTTCTCTAAAATACCTTTCTCTCCAATTGGCTCTGAAGCTTCTCTTTCAATGCCTTCATTTCTTCAAGCTTAACATTTGCTGCCTGCCCATCTATTTTGGCTTGCCTGTATATTAAAAAAAAAAAAAAAAAAAAAAAAGTGGGGAAAAAATGGCTCAATTGAAACCTTCTCACAATAGCTGGGAAGAGCAGAAAAATTTCACAATACTGTTCTCACAGGGCAGAAGAGGTTTCCCCCTTCTCCCTATGTGGCACAGAGAGAGAGGAATACCACATTCCAAAAGTCCTGTGGAAATTACTTCAGAGATTATAAGGAAGGCGTATGCATTGATTAAAGAAGGACTAGGAAATCAAAAACTTCAAGTGATTCAATAACTTAGGTATAATTAGTCACAGATATGTAATGGAGAAATCTATTGCAGAATTACATTTCACTTTTTAAAGCAACAGAACTAGGAATTGAAACAATCATTATACACTTTTAAAGAATTCAGCTGATGTGCTTTGTAATCTGAATAGTTTTTGTGGGCTGAAGGAGAAGAGGGGAAAAAAAAGGAATAGTTAGTGAATCATGTTAATGACTAGTGGTTCTTCAGCCTCAGTAGAAAAATCTGTTGAAAATAGCAACCTTCCCACTCCTCTGACTTGGGAACAGAAAGACACAGAGAGTCTTCACCTGGGGTGTAACCCACTTTTTCAGGCTGCATATTAGGCTAAATTTAACAACCAATGACTGACTCTATCATAAAGGTAAAAGAGAGCAAACACGTAATAGATTAGCTCATGCAAACTGCAGCACCAATAGTCATGAAAGAAGCTATAAAATATTTCATACTTCTAACAATCAACTTTAAGCAAATATTTCTTCTAGAAATACTGATTTTGAATTAAGGGCATAAAAGTCAAGCATACTGTATCCACATGAAAATCTTAAGCAAAATATACATAATCCAAGGAATTTTACAGCAAATACTTCATTTCAGCCGAATTAATTGGAAAAGTTAATTTGGTTACAATTTCTTTAAAATGCAAAAACTACAACAAACACATTATTACTAAACACATGGTCTTTAGTGTGGGCCCAAAACTTTGACCTTAGTCCATCTGAAACATTGCATGTTTCTCCTACAAGAAGTACTGTAAATTCAGGAGGACATTAAATTGCCTCCTGCAAAATATTAAGTGTTGTAAAACAAAATATAATCTCAAAAGGCAGCATAAAAAGGGAAAAAGAAAAATGGTCATAAAAATCAGAGCACCGTAAGTATTAACAACATATTTTAACAAACAGGTTCAGATTCAGATCAAATTCAGAGGTCTGCATTTTACAGGCAACAAACTGCTTCTAAAGATACAGCTTTTATTCTTTACTGTACAACATATCTTTAAGTTAATCTTGGCAATTTATCTCTGTGTAAGAGCTTTAAGATTCCGAAATGCAGATCCATGCCCTAGCTACACCAAGTTTCTTAATTTGCGTGTTTTATCCAGGCCATACAAACCTAATTTAAACCTCAAGTTGTTTTTTTTTCAAATCTACTTCTGCATTCCTGACTTAGTACTCTATTACCATAAATCATGTAAAACTATGGAAAACATCCCAAAGGATTAGAATTGTCTGCACCATATGCTTTATAATCCATGCAGACTACATCTTCATGTTATAGAAGCAACTGGTGAAAATAGTCCAGACTTCTTGGAGAAACACTGCAGCACCTTTTAGGGCCAGACAGAGCTGCTGCCATTAACCTTGGGAGTAAAACACTGTTTTTAGGGGTGCAAGGACTTTAGGCTGATCTGAGAGGAAGGTGAGCATAATCAGTGCCTGTAACTAGAGATGGATAATGAATGAATTTCTTATTTTACTCTCAGTTCATAAAGCCACTGTTGAATGAAATAGAATTTTAATTTGACATCGACCATCACTAGTTAAAAGAGAGAACAGACAGAATAAACTGGCATTGAATAGACTTGAGCTATAAACACAAATAATCATGAAATTTTGCCAGAGATACTATTTCTCCTTTCCCTTGATATACTTCAGGAATGTAATTAACACTTCTTTTACCTTTAACTTCCACAGAACCTACGGTTTAGAGCTCTTTATGGATAAGGGGTGAAAGCAAATTTTATTAAAAAATTAGAACTTGGAAGCTTGTTTGAACATTCACATTTCAGAACTCTAATGAGTAACCATGTAACTGGCTTTTGAGCAAACTGTATTCTAATGAAAGCCTATCTGCAGAATCATTTGTGATGTGTTACTGATAATTTTTTTCCTTTTAAATCAAAGATCAAATGTTCACTATTTCAGGGAAAAGCTCAACCAAACAACACTGACTGGAAATATGTTACCATAACACTAAAGATGTCTAACAAACTTCAGAGACAGTTATTGAAACCATTTTAACTCTGAGGATGAAATTAGCTTGCAGTACAAACAAGGGCCATGACACAGCAGCAGGTTAGGAAAAACTATAGAAAATATGTTAATTATTTTTTTAAATCTGCCTGGTATATACCTCAGTTGTTTTCGTAGCTGCTCTAGTTCCACATCTTGTTCTGTCACAGTTTTCAGAAACTGCTGATTGGTCTGCAAAATAAAGAGATATTTGTACCATGTTCATTATAGTATTGAAAATGTTACACATGCCTTACACTGAGATAGTAAAGATGACCACAATGGCAGGCAGCACTCAAAATGCACAATATTCTCCTTTTCTCCCCTCTCTCCTATTAATTGCTAATGTTCTTCTTGCTTTTTGGACTGTTACTAAGAATTGTTTTCAGGCACTTCCTACTTCTAAAATATCTATTCTGAGTGCTAACAGTTCATTTCAAGACCACCACAGAGTGCCCAAAGGAAAAACCCCATCTTGCCCAGATCTATTATTATGGTCTCATTAATAACAACAAAATATCAGATTAAATGAACTCAGATAATCAATGAGATCCTTCTGCAAATTTCTGCAGTTTACTTCAGTTTTTACTACTGTAAGTATTTTAACATTAGCAGTGAACACTCTTGCCTCAACATCGAATCTCATTTCCAGAGCATGCATAAATATGCTGAACAATTCCAACCTGAGCACATCTAGGAAGCACAGCTGTTTTACCATAATAAAAAATATGACTAATTAACATGTCTCCTCACTTCCTATTTTTCAGTTTATTAGTTCAAAAAAAGGGCTTCGTGCTTTATCCCATGACATCTTTATGCCTTTGGTAACAGATGGTACCAAATGTTTTATGGATAATGCAAATAAATGGATTATCTTTATCTTAAATATTGTCTTAATTCTTTTCTCTGATGTGAGTAAAAAAGATTTCAGTCACAAAAACAATTGTAGGCTGTTAGAGTAGGTTGTCTTTTTGCACTGCCAGTATTCAAAACAAACACTCAAAAAATTCATACAGGAATCAAAACCAAGCTGCTCAGCCAAAAACCTCACCCCCTCTTTCACCTCAATTTTTCAACAAAAAACTTGAGAGATTCTATTAAAACTGCTTGTCAATTTTGGAAGGCCTAGGCCAAAGCTTATTAACTAAGAAGTCTCACAGTCTAAGGATGTGGATAAAGCACTGGAAGGTTATCAGAGCTCTGCAAAATGTGCATAAAGGTGACAAAGACACTGAAGACAGCAGTACCAAAACAGGAATGGATAAAAGTGTGCCAGAGCTAGCATATGAAAGAGGGCATAATTTAAAGAAATGTTTCCTTTGTGAAGACATGTGTGAAGTACACTAGCTACTGTACAGGATTACTACTGTAATTCTGAGTGTAAACTTACCCCTGAAGTGTAAAAGAAAGAGCTCACATAAAATTAAAAGCTGACCTCTCAACCACCTTGACCTGGCGTTTGGAGTTCAGGAATAAAGCCATCACTGCTTCCTGATTGCTGGAGAAGTTTTAAAATTTGAGTGGCACCAGGTATGTGTGAAGGCCTTTTTGCTTTGGTTTTGAACTTTGAGGGTCTAGTAGGAAAATAAAGAAATTACTAAGTCACTGTTCAGTTTTACTCACCATGTGCAGTTGGCGAGTCAGCTGCTGAATGCTACTCAGTTGATCCTAAAAAGAGAATTCAGAGTTTCTTATAATCATTACAGTCAGAAAGAGTGAATAATTAGAAATCTTCATAGTCAACTGAAAACATTTTAAAAAACCAACTATACATGTAGTAGAAAATTCAGTGCGTCTTCATAGATTTCAGCCAGATTGTTTTTAGCCGTTGACCTCATAGCCCATAAGATTAGATTTATTACTGAACAATTTATCTCATTTTTCCTGGGTCACAAACTGCCTCCTTGCAAAACTCACATGCACTTACTATGAAAACATGAAAAGACACATGAACAGTGCTTTTAAAGGGTCACACAGACTGTGGTGCTACTACAAGCATTTTTGATAAGCAAAGTAACAGACATGCATCCGTTAATTTAAAAATGCCTAAAATGTTATGGACATTTTAGTTTGTTTTTTGCCATACAGGATGTCTTGTGTTCCCAAAAAAACCAAATCAGTTAAGTTCTTGAGTCTCTGAATGTGAACTCCATCATTCTAGGAGAACTAGCATAACTCAGAAAAACCATGTGCAGCACGCCAGGTGCCTTCAGAGCAGAGAGAGGACTGAAGTCCCTGGGCTGAAGTGTCTTCTAATTGTGTTATCTAACAGTCTCAAGGCCATGGATATGCTAGGAACCAGCTCCTGCCACTCCCTTACCTTCTAAATCCAGTCCTTATGATGTCCCCTCTCCTCCTTGCCTTCTGTCAATTCTAATTCTACTTGATCTGACCTATTTTTATTTACCTCTGACAGCTGTTTGCCCGTCCTTCATTGAAAGCTAAACCTGAAATAAAATTTTATTTAACTGCAGAGCTGTTTTCTATGGGAGACAAGTAGCATTTAAGAATAAAAGGCTGTTTAGCCTTGTTCTTGTCACAGTGGCATTAAAATGCACCAAAAATTGAGTTACTAATAAGAAATGGAATCTAGAAGCTCTACAACAGCTACCAATGACTCTCTATGCTCTATTGTGTGAGTATGTTATTAGTAACTGACAATACAACACAAGAAATAATCTAACAGAAGAAACAGGAGCAGAAAGTTGGATCTACACAAAGTTAAGAGTCCTCTTAACTATTCCTTGAAATAATTATGAAACTTGAGAGTACAACAGTTGCACAGACACTTCTCCTGTTTCTCAGAAAAGATCACATTGCTAAGGTGAACTTAATACTACAAAACCCTAAAAACCAGTAAAAAAATATTTCTGAGGTGAGCTGTAGCTGCGCCCACAAGTCAAGTGTGTCTGAAAATAGAGAGGAAATATTAAAACAATTTGTAGGTTGTTTCCTAGAAATACATGTAGCAAAGTCCATAGAAGTTTCTATTACACACTGAGCATCTTTATGTAGCTCATCAGAGCAGAACAGCTCTTCTAAGAATTTCCTGAAAGGCCTTCCCCAGACTCAGCAGAAGAGAAACAGGCTGCTAAACACAAGCTAGCATTAGACAAAGACTAGTGAACTTGATTTTTCACCTGTTTACTTCTTTACTGAATAACAGCAAGAAATGGTGAGTACTTTTCCAGCTATTCAAACACAGGAGATCAGATAAAGAAAGACTTTCACCTCAGAAATCAGAAATCTTAAGCGACTTTTCCAGATGTTTTACTGTCCTGAAGATTTCCGACCGTGCAATTCAAACACAGGATTTTATATATATATATGCGCACATACATATTTTGTGTGTGTGTCTATGTGTATATATATATCTATAAGAAAACAAAAAAGAACAAAAATAAATGAAAATTACATTCTGCTTTTTCCTTTCAGCTATGAGAACGTGTGTTCTAGTCAGGCGCTCCTGGTACTGCTGCTGAAGTCGGTCGTGCTCCTGTGACAACGTCTGCCAGCGCTCAACTGCTTGGTCTTTCTCCTAATTTACAGAACAATATTCTGTTACAGCACATTTGTCTTCATCTATCACTGTCTAAAAAGACAGGTCTTAACTTCTATTCTGAAGAAATGCCATTAGCTATACTTTTCTTTGCATATATTTTTTAAAAATTTTAATTAGAGTGCAGAAAAACAGATGCCTGGCCACTTCCAGTTATTTGCCTTTTTTTTTTTTTTTTAAGAGCTCACACTTTCACAGGTCTTTAAGGTAGGCCTACAGTATAGATACCATTCAAATACCAAAATTCAGTTGATATATTGTTAGAAACTGAACAAAATTCACTTGTATTTTCAGATTTAGATACTACTGTCTATATCCCACACCTCCCTCATCATTTCACATTACAATAGTTTTAATTAAAATGACAAGTTACTGCAAAAAGCTCAAATTGAACAAAATATTTCACAGAGTTACTGATCATGAATTCGACATACAGATCAAGTCAACTAGGTATAATTACTGACACGAACTATTATTAAAAAATTATTTTATGAATCTTGGAAAGAAGTTTCTTCAATCTTTGAGTTCAAGAGGGGCTCAAAACAGCCTCAAGGAATTCTGACCAAATAATTTCTGAATCAAGAAATAAAACAGCCTCCCCCAATCTGCCAAGGCACAACAAGAGAAATAAAACAACATAAATGTTTCATCTCACACACTTGCTTTGCCAGCTGTAGTTCTTCTTGAAGGGCTCTCACTGTGCCTTCATCTGCAGGAATATCAGTTTCAGGATGCACAAAAGGAAGAGCCTCCAGTTGCTTCTCAAGAGGCTCTTTCAACTCTGCATGCAGCCTGAAATTCAAAGAACTAAGTTCAGCAAGGTATTTCTTTAAAAGGCATTTTTTAAACAATTGAAATATACCGTGCCTTTCACCTGTACATACTACTTCCTTCCAAGTCAAATTTTAATCTATTCAGTTATGTTCCATAAACAAAATTGACAGTTTGAGATAGTGTCACATCCAGTTCTTTAGTGACATGGTAAAATCTCCTCTACCTGGTGTGGTAATCTGTATTAAGCACTTCAAGACTCTAACATTAGGATCCTGAGTTTACTTAGTAGAAGATTTCAAGGTCCTAGGAAAAAAAAGCTTTTTAATGTTTAAGAAATCATGAGAAACAGTAGTAGCAACATGGCAGTGCAATTATTTACCTTTCATTTTCCTTGGTGACTTCTTCCAATTTTAGCTTCATCTCACCCATTTGTGCCTGACAGAAAGACATGCAGGAGTTAGCACTCATTTAAGTTACATAAACTCTGGTAACACTGTCAATCCTGTATTTCTGACTGACACTGTAAAAGATGGACAATTGAATCCAGCATAATATGGTAAATGAAAGTCAATTGCTTTTTTTAAGGCAAGTCACAGGATGCCACTTGAATTTAATGGCTGCCAAGTCCTGTTACACCTCAGCATTCGGAAGTTATTACGGACATTAAACTTAACCTTTTGAAATTCCTATGGCTCTTACAGATTGATTTTCAATTAACTCACATTTTTAGGGATAGAGTGGATAACTCATCTTTTATGCTGCAAGTATTTGATGAAAGTTCAGCAATTAACTGAGGAGAAACTCTAGTTATATGAACCAAACTGGCTGTTTTGTTTACTAGTGCAAGGAAGCCATAGTGCTTCTGTTGCCTCTTGAAACTGATCAAGCTGCAAGACTATTTGCAAAATCTTTATGATGGACAGATCAAACCAATTTAAGTGCATTAAACCAAAAGCACTGTATAACTTCTGCATGAAGATCACAAGCAAAAATTGCTTTCTGCATTCCATAAGTTTTAACATCATTTATGTTTCCAGTCATGCGAAAGGAAGTGGAACCCTTCCACCTCAACCCCCAGGATTACAATGTTGCAATTTGGACAATCTCCCAACCTTTTCACAGAAGCTCTCCATTCATCCCCTTGAGGCAGCCTGCAGTCCAGCAGCTTTGTGAAGCATGACAAAAACTAGTGCCCTACATATTCACACCCCTAAAAGAAAATCCAGTCTGAAATGTAGGGAATGCCCATACCTGATAAAGCTGCAGCTGTTCTCTCATTTCCTCCACCTGTTTTCCATAATCTGTGATTAGAGCTGACAAGCTAAGAAGATGAAAAACACTCTAAGAATGAGTTTCATAAATGCTGAAATGCTCTGATAATTAAGTAGTTTTAAAGAATTCTTAATCTAGAGGCCAGAACAGAGCAGACATTTTTCTTGAGTTCCAAGCTCAACATTCCCCAGAATCAAATGAACAAATTTAATCACTGCTTTTAAATAATGATCATTAACAGCAAGGGTGCTACATAACAGAAATAGAACATATAATGGAAAATAATAAATGACCGTAAATATAATATTACTATTTCATTGATTCACACAGAATCCCAAATATTAAAAGACTATACTTCATTGCTGCTTTCACATACAACAGTAAAGTGGCCTAAAAGACAATGCAGAACACTGTAGTTCTACTTCTATGCATTCTTCCTCCTAAGATTTTCACAACTGCTAGCAATTCCCTGAAAATTCTATATTAAAAGCTAACAAGAAAAGCTAGGTTATTTTTGTAAGAGGAAATTACAGTGATCATGAAACCATTTACTGACAGACAACTGTTAGCTGAAGAGTGTCAAAAAACATTTTTAAAAACATCCCCCAATCTCAACAGACAGCAGTTACCAGTGTTACCTAGATCAGTGCAATCTTACCAGAACTTTTGTTTATTCTCTCAGAACTTAGACTAGACAATTCCTTCATTCATCTCTCATCCTTTATTTTACAGCTTGTGGCAGCAAAGTCAGTAATTTAATTTACTGAATAAACACAGTACCACCTATCACCAACTTTTACAGTAACACCTACACAGACACGCATATACAAGCCCCAGTTCACCTCGATATTTACATTCCTGTGAGCACATGACAATTTCCTTCAAATACACTGCAGTATTCCCACTTATCACTTGGAATCAGTTACCTTTGGTCCATCATCCTGGATCCTGATGTGCCATCACCACCAAGGGCATATTCCTGTAATGGAATAATAATTTAATCATTTGTAATTGCACATAAATGTATGTAGTTTTAAACTTTTATATGAGACCCAAAACTGCCTGTACTGTAATCTGTACACAACATGCCACAGAATCACTTTCAGATTCATGTTCAAAAACCCTTGAGTGCTGGCCCAATATGAAAAAATAATGATTTTTCTTTCCTGGACATGCTCTGATCTAAAGCATAAATACATCTGAGGGAAAATCACCTCAATCTTAAAAGAATAATCACAGGTTTGTGTAAGTGCTTGGTTCATTTCCATGCATCTCAGCATCTGGAAAACACTGAAGCCCTAGCTTCTGCACAAGCTTTCAGACAGGCTTATGGTACCCAGTACAAAAAGCTACCTCAACATGAGACCAATCTCTTAGACAAGTGAAAAAGTGTACTGAATTACAAATCAAGTGCTCTTTCAGGGATAAAACTTTCAGAAATTAACTAAAAATACCATAATTCACTGTTAGGGCAGTTTTTTTCTGCTGTTGCTGCATTGTATGATGGACTCAAAAAAGGGCCAGACAACACTGAAGTGAGCTGTGCTCCATATTTAGAAAGTTATTTATCACAAAACAAACAAACAAAAAAAATTACTACTCCCATGCCTGAGTTCACATACCTGCTCAGCAGTAATTCTCAGACCCTCCCTGGTTTCAGAGTGTCCAAGTGCCATTTTTAGCCTCTGATCTGAAAAAAAAACCACGTTTGAGAATCATGGCTATAACACAGGCCACTATCTACATCTATGGGACTGGCAGTCAGAAATATGTTTAACAATATAATGCTTCAAGGGCAAAAAAAAAAAAAAAAGCTTCTAAAATTCTTCTATTTAGCAAAACAGTTTAAAAAACCCCCAGGACTTGAAAAAACCTACAGGAACTGTAATAATAATAAAGAATTCCATTCCTGTCACATCCTCTTTTCTTTAAGAATTATTTTTGCTCTGTTTTGTAAGACTCTGAGTAACATTTTTGTAACTGGAATGAGTAACAAAGAAGAAAAAAGAAGTTGGGAATGTCTGTATTTTGATTTAAACAACTTCTTGCCTATTTTTCTTGATACACATACCATGGTGCTTTTACTAGTTCTAAACTTCTAAAGGAGGATATAGGAAAAAGACAGTGGGGAAAGAAAGGAGGTAACAGCAAAGGAATGTCAGGAAACAGGAAAGGGAAAGTCTCATGAGATGCCATTAGCGCAAAAAGGGACAGATTTTAAACATCACTTATAGAAGCTCCCTTTCAACAGGAAAGCATTAAATATGTTCTGAAAAAAGTTCAGCATGTACCACAAAAGTATGGAATGGAGGATTATTGTTTGTAGGTCTGGGTAGTAATATTTCAAAAAGAATTCAGGTAAAACTCAACCTTCTTTACAGCTATATATTTAACATGACAAATACTTTACAACATTAAATATAATACTGCTTAGAGAATCTCTTGTCAGATGTATTACACACACTTCATTGTTTTAGAGCTTTGATTTCACATTAGTGAAGGAAGAGAAACATTAATTCATTTATCGGGCCCAGAGGCCTAAAACAACTTAGGGCTCAGCTGGCATAGAAGTCAATTTCAAACCTTGTCCTGTGAAAATGTATAAATATTTTTTTAAAAAAAGGATTAAACTCTTTGATAGGAAAGGGAAATCACCATTTCACAGTGAATTTAGTCTGAGTTCTACTTAGATTCTAAAGACTCACAAAATAAGCTACTGCTAAAAGAAATACATATGAAAATGCAACATTCCAATATCTGAGAAAACATAATATTTTCAAGTCACAGAATAATAAATACTCTTGCAAAGTGCAAGAAAGATACAGGTTTTTAAACCAGGATGACTGTGTTATCTGAGACAGCAGCTTTTCTGCTACTGAAATCCTTGGAATCAAAAGTGGTTTTTTTTCATTTTTGCCACCACAGGGAACTTGGCACCCAGTGAAATTCGGAGGTCTGAGCGATGGAGCTGCAAACGCTGCATTCACCGTGACCTGCTCCTGCTGCCAAGTTTTCCTGCAGCGCTAATTGGGAACAGAGACATTCCCTAGACAAAGCGCCTGCCCCATCTCCAACTCCCAGGAATATAAACTCAGCAGAAGCAAATTTGTTTGGCCAGTTATTTTGTTGGTGAGCAGCTCAGATGCACTCTGATTAAGTAATGATAAGTTATATTAAATCCATCAAGTGACACATAATTAAAAACACCGATTTTGGTCCATAAAGCCAATTTCACGAACAACTGGAGAAAGCTTTCTAAAGTGTAGGAAACGCCGTGGTTTCATAACTAAAAAGCAGTTCATACATAAACGCATGTGTTTTTGGCCATCACCCTCATTAGCAGCTTTTAATTCCTGGTGTTTAGCTAACTAAAAGCACTACCCACGCTGCTCCTCACCGGGAAACCTACGGAACACAAACCTTCACCGCTACCGAATTTAAACCCTCACCGCCAACACTCACCTGGCCTCGTTCCCAGCCTTCCCCACGCAAACTCCACGAAGCCCCGGGGGGAAAAGCAGCTTGTCCGGCCGGAGGAGAGGAGAGGACAGCCAGGGCTCTACCGGAGCAGGGAAGGCGGCAGGAGCCCGCCAGGGCGGGACGCGCTCCCCTCAGCCGCCGGTGCCCCGGGGCGGGGGCAGCGGGGAGAGCCGCCCCTCCGCTCCTCCCCAGAGCCCGCTGCCAGCCCCGCCGCCAGCCCCGCCGCTTAGGCAAGGAGGCAGCCCCGGTGCCCGCGGAGCCACGGCCGCTGCAGGGCCCCGCGGAGGAGCCGCACAACCGCCGAGGGCCGGGGCGGGCCTGGCCTGGCCGCTCCCTCCGGCCCGCCCGCAGCGCCGGGCCCGGCCCGGCCGCCAGCGCCGCCCCCGTCACGTGGGGAGCGGCCATGGCGCGGGGCTGAGGCGGCAGTGGGAGAAATGCCTCGCTAAACTTTGCTGGGGGGTTGTGGGTTAGGGATAGGCGCTTAAACTTCCCCTCGGGAAAACAACCGGGTTGTGGCCGGAGCAGCGGAGCGAGGAACAGGGTGCGGAGCGCTCTGGGAGGGGCTGCCCGTCGGAGGCTGTGGGCAGGCGGGGACCGGCCACTTGTCCCGGGAAACCGGCGACAGCAGGAGAGGACACAGCCCGGAACTGCATCTGGGGAGGGACAGGTTGGACTTTAGGAGTAATTTCTTTATGCAAAGGGTGATTCGACTTTGGAACGAGCAGCCCACCGTCTCTGGAGGTGTTTAAGGAAAGGCCGATTTGCAGTGATGCAAATGAAAGCACTAGCTAGTTGCTTCATTTTCTTAAGTCTCAAACTTTAAAAGGTTTCTCCTCAGTCTGTTTTTCTGATGTTACCAAATCCTCTAAATTCATGTAGTGGAGACTATTTTGTTCATCTGTCCTCTTGATAAATATTTCTGGTGGTTTTGGAAGTTTTTTTTTTTTAGATGTACGTGTGAAAAGCCTTAAGCTAATTCAGACTTCAGAGACATTCGTAACCCTGCGGTATAAAAGCTATGAGAAACAGCATTTATGTAACTGTTTAGTTAGGTTTTTGTTAGAAAGCTAATTTGTTTCAGTTCTGATGCCTGTAAACCTGATTTGGTAATTGACTTTGTACCAAAGTGTATGTTTATTTTTTTTCCCCTGCGCAACCAAACGGCAATTCACGAGGAATCTGAGATCTTTGACAGAACTTTCCTTTTTCACTTGTGTAGTACCTGAAGATGGAATTTCGAATTAAACACACCTGGGATGGTTTGCCCGTGAGCCACGAGCCGGTTACAATTGGGCTGAGGCCGGATAATGCAGGACTGCTGATGGAAGTTCGAGCTCCTTTCTTTAATGACCCTCCAGCACCTCCCGGAGAGCCAGGGAAACCTTTTGGTGGGCTGTGGGACTATGAGGGTAAGTGTAACTCCTCTGCAAATATATCTGATTTCTGTAGGCACTGATGTTCCTCTGTGTTTGATATGCCTGGTCTTTTTTTTTAAGAAACTTTTAAATCTGTGATAGTTGTGGTTTTTTTTCAAACAAATCCCAAACCTGAAGTTCAGTGATCTGGGTTGATTTTGATAATTTTGAAGCTGACTTCCTGATCCTGTCAATAGTATATGCATTCAAACTTAGGTTTTGGGTTACTGGTGCAACTTGTGAACTATCAGAAGCTTGACATATTTGAGTATCAAAGCAGTTTTGTGGCTTATATATATTTAAATGCCCTTGTGGAAGGAGAAGTGAAATCCTAAAGACCAATTCCACTTTTGCTTTAAGAAATTGTGTGTTTTAGTCATTTTTCCAAAGTTCCTTTGTGGAAGAGGAAGGTGTGAAACACAGAAATTACACTCATGAAGTGCAATTCAAAACTGTGGCCAAATGAAATGGGGAAAACTCTCATAGTAGTGCTGGGTATTTTCTCCTTTCCTGTGCATGCTGTCACTTTTACCCATTGCTTTGAGTAATACAAGAATTGAATGTTTCTAGCAGTTCCTTACTTCCTGATTATTGAGCTATTCTGATCCAAGCTCTACTAAAATGGTATTAGCCCCTCTTTGGTGTTATTATAATAAATATGTTTAAGTAAAAATAACTAAAGGTATCAGTCACATCTTAATTCTAGCTGAAGTTTTCTAATAATGTCATTGCTGTGAGAAGCACTGTTGTAATTTTACATGAGAAACACCATTGTAGTTCTACTTTCTGTTCCTGAAATGTGATTCAAATGTCACATGCAGCTTTCAAGTACACCTGGAACAGTAATCCCCTGTCCAAAATATTGCTCTGCAGGGAAAAATCATTTAAGGATTAAATGCTTTCTTATGATTTCTGAGATTTAACAGTTTTAGTTACATGGTTTGTGCCCTGCTTTGAATGTGTGATCTTCTTTCCCTTATTTTCCTGCTGCATCAGGGTGAGTGTTTTCAAAACTGGAATTGGTAAAGGTAATAAAGTTATTACAGTACTTTATAAAGCTTTTTGTGATCACAGCAATTAAAATAAGAGCTCCTAAAGTTGGAATTGTGGCACAGCATTTTAAATATTTGGGTTGTTGTTACTGTGTACATGTCAGTAGCAAGTCAGGCTCTGGCATGACACAGGTCAAAATACATGAAAATTGAGTTGTATTAATGGGATATGAAGATCTCAGGGTATTACAGAATAGTTAATATAAAATACTGACAGCTTGTTTTTTTTCTTTTAATTTTTTTTGTTTGATTTGGGTTTTTTTCAGTTGTAGAAGCATTCTTTCTGAGTGACAGAACTGAGCAGTATTTGGAAGTTGAGCTTTGTCCGTAAGTACAGCACTGAAAAAGACCCAAAAGTTAATTTCCTCTTGCAGTTGCAATGCTGCATATGAGACACATGTATGAGGGGGACTAGATACAGAGACTGGGTCAGTATGGGGAATGTACATATTTGTGGTGGTATAATGCACTAATAACTTGACATAATTTTAGGAAAACTGTGCTCTGATTCTTTGACAGCCATGGGCAGTACTTACTGCTGCTGCTTTCTGGCAGAAGAAAAGCGTGGAAAGTAAGTGCTCAAGTACATTAATAATGATTTTTATGTACCTACTTTCTGATCAAAATATGGCCAGTACCTCTTATTTAAATCTTTTTTCCCCTCTTTTAACAGGAAGAGCTTCCTTTGGAGTTTGAGGTGACCAGAATGAAAACCAAATGGGAGGGTAAAGCTCTTCTTCCTTGGAGCTATTTTCCACCATGCACTGACAAGTTCAATGCCTTTGCAATTCATGGCTCGGGAGAAGAGAGAAATTATGAAGCACTTTATCCTGTGCCTCCACACCAGCTGCAGGAAGGGCAGGAACCAGATTTGTAAGCATAAAATGAGCTCTTCTATAAAATGGTTGCTCTATTGTTGGAATACTTTAAAAAGCTGATCTGGTTTTTGGATTGAGTGCCCCTAGTATTTTTGTTATAGGACTTAGCTCTGGGTCCACTGGTGCTGTACTTGTATAAAGCACTGTGGCACGGTAATTAATGCTTGGTTTGCATGCTAGGTACATAGAAAATTACACATTCAGTACCATTGGTATCTGCTTTTATCACCTTCCTCATCTAAATCATGGGTAGGTTGTTCTCCTTTTCCTTCTTGACTTCAGCTCCTCCTGAAGTGCCATTTTAGTGATAATTTCACCAGGTATGTTTCCAGTAAATCTCTTCTGCTCCTTTTCCTTCTTGACTTCAGCTCCTCCTGAAGTGCCATTTTAGTGATAATTTCACATTTCCAGTAAGTCTCTTCTGCTCCTCCCATACTGTTCTAAAAGCTTTCACCTCTACAGATGGTTCCATGCTAGGGAAAAAATTGAAAAGACAGCCTAAATTAAAAAAAAAATTAAAGGATACCCCGTATCAATAGAACCATACTGTTCTAAAAGCTTTCACCTCTACAGATGGTTCCATGCTATAGAAAAAATTGAAAAGGCAGACTAAATTAAAAAAAATGAAAGGATACCCTGTATCAATAGAAAAAACAGCAAATTTGGATTTTTAAATTGTGCTTTGGGCCCGTTTATTTTCTTTGCCTGTGAGGCTGAGATGATCTGGTAAAACCTGTTACTCTTGGGCATTTTCTATAAATGATCCAGCTCTAGAAGCCATACTATAGCTCTTAAAAAACTTGTCACACAACATACAGTGATGGTGAGGTAGGGTAAATTTTAGTTAAATTACCCGTTATTTAAGAAAAAATAACCCAGCTCTAGAAGCCATACTATAGCTCTTAAAAAACTTGTCACACAACATACAGTGATGGTGAGGTGGGTAAATTTTAGGTAAATTACCCATTATTTAAGAAAAATTTAGCTTTTGCAACTGTATATTAAAAAAATCAGAGCTATTGCTAATAAAACACATCAGTATTCTGTGACAAATGGAAATTTTTATTTTATTTTTATTTGTTGTATTGCACTGGAGAATGGCTGTAATACCTTTCAAGAAGGTGTTTAGAATTTTTTCTCTAGTACACCTTTCAAAAAAAATCCCTTGTCTTTTTCAGATGTTGGTAGCAGATGAAATTATATGAAGAGACTGTTCCTTGCTGATTTCATTACTCTGTTTGTCTTTGCTCTTACACATTACTGCAAAAGTTAGGACTTTGTTTATTTCTCTTTTGTTTGCAGTCATCGTTTGGAATTTTTCGAAGACTTGAACCTGAAAGAACTAACAGGAGAAGACTGGAAGCAGCCTGAATCAGATCTGTGGAAATCTCTCACCAAGTGAATGGATTGAGGCATAAATTTTTGAAATGTTGAAGTTGGCTGGAGCTGTGTGGAAACAACTTCCTCATTCTGAGCAGAGGTTGTAGATACCAGATGAGCAAGGCTTTCCTTGGCACCAAAATCATGGATCAGTCTGAAAATCAACTGCAAAGCACATGGATCCGTTGATTCTAAATGTATGAATGGCTTGGAGTTTTTCACCTGTGCAGGAGATGAATCTTCTGCTACCAGTGAAGGAAGAATGTGCTGAAATTGCAGCTGTGCTTTTGTGAGAGCTCTGAAGTGTGACAAGGCCAATACCTGGATTCAATCTTTTGTTTTCCTATAGTTGCTGCATTTCTGCTGTATTTTCACTGCTGCTCATTTGTTTGTTGACTGCTGAAGGAGATCTTTATGTGCCTAGATTTTTTGCTTACAATCGGGAGGAAGAATGTAGCTATCATGGATTTTGGAGGCAGAATGTAGCTATCATGGATTTTGGAGGCAGAATGTAGCTATCATGGATTTTGGAGGCTCAGTACTTGCCCTGCAAAAAGCATAACGCTGCCCTTTCCTGTATGTTCCTGTGCCTGAAGTTTTCCCTTGCTTAGTGCCAAAGGGGGAACTTCTTCTGTCTCACAGACCTCTCTGTGGAGTTGCTAATGGTGTTTAGGTGCGGAGGATAGATTTACAAAAGGTTTTCTGTATTTCAGGTGAAGTTTCTGGGACAAATCATGCTTAGTAAAATCTTTTGGTATAGTTATGTGTGTGCAAAAGCGGGTTTTTATCCTAAGACTTGTCACATCAAGTGACATTTAAGAATTCATCTCAGATGTCTGAGGATTGGTTTTTTTTTGCATGCCACTGAGGGCTGGAGATACTCCAGGAGTATATTTTCTGTGTGTGGGCATGAGTCATTTTAACAATAGTAAATATTCTTAGGTGGCAACATCTAATCTGTAAACCCTCACAAGATTTACAAATCATATGTTCCTTTTTTTTGTCTAGCATAGCAATTGCTGCTTGATAGTGGCTGCTGATTTAATCTTATATAAATTACCTTAAAAAATGTGAAACTTGCTCACTAACTAGATCCTTGCCAGTATGCAGTAATAAACACATTCTGATGGTCCTATTTTCGTTGCTGTCTTCCAGCTTCACTCTAGCTGTAAGTTCTGCCTGAGAAGCAAAGAAGGTGGGAATATTCCACCTTTGTGAAGAGCATCTCAGTCTGGTTAATGTCTGATATAGCATGTTAGTTCACAGTTTTTGTTAAGCTTTAGATTCCCTCTGTGTACTTCCAGTTTTATAGAACTGTGCTTTCAAATTTGAACATATTATTTGTTTTTATCCTGTAGCAGATTTTGGCATGTCAGTGCACTCAGCCATCCAATTGCTTTTGCTCTGTTTCAATTAGACTATATAGGTTCCTTGCTGTAAAGTGCCATCTGTTGAAAATTGTAAGTATTGTACCTCCAGTTGTTTGGCTTCTTTTCTACCTTCTATCCATGTACAGTTTTCTAAAGAATGACATCAGTCTGAAATATTGAATAATTCAATAAATGTTGATTAAAGTATCATCTAGATAGTGACATCTCAAAGCTGCTTAAAAATTTTTAGTCAAAACCAAAAGGCCATTGTGCAAAACTTTTAGACTTTATTTTTAAAAGTTTGTCAAAAAACTATGTGCAAAGATTCAAAATGGGTGTACTGCTTTTCTCACAAAGGTTGTTTTCATCTGAGGAGTAATACTTTGTATGTAAAGACAGTAAATAAAATTTTTTATTTATTCCTACTTCAAACTGACTGATTTGGATTTGACTTTGGATGTAAATGATGAACTTAGAGGGAAATAGGTTATTTTTCCCAAATAAGTAATTTAAAGCAAAACCATTGTGTAGGTGCTCCAGGAAATAGAAATTATTTTTGCACTCCCAGAGACCTTGTTCTTTTTGCTTCTTGCCACTAGGTGGGAGAAGAAGGTTGTCTAAACTGTGCCTTGGTGCTGCCAGCCTGTTATCCTTAACCAGATCCATTCCTTCTTGCTGTATCCTTGATTTTAGAAAAAGGATATTCCAGTCAAGCTGATGGTGGCTTATTTTGGTTTATTTGAGACATCTTTGTCGCAAGAAACAGCTGTCATGCTGTGCAGTTACAGTTATAATGTTTGCTTTCCTGCGAGGCTATTTTCAAAAATAATTTTTGAAATAAAACCAACAGAAGACAAATTCCGTGAGGTGTCACTCAATCTGTAGTGTGAAAGTAGTTTTGTGGTGTTCAAATTACTTAAGTGTTATTCTGGATTAAATTTTTTACAAATGTCTTGGGTAGTCTCTGGCAGACTTTCCAAAAAGGCTGTTTTGAATTCTGAAGGAATTTATTTCTTTTAATACAGGCTGATTTGTGAGAGGTGGTTCAAACAACCTGCAGTGAAACAACGTGAAAACTGTGGCTTAAGAGGGACATTCTTTGTCTTCAATGCAAAAATGAAAAAGACAATTATGTAAAGAAAACTTGAATGGTAACGTGTGCTACTGGTAGAAGTGATTTGTACCTTAAATACAAAGCTGCAGCAACTTAGGTTTTCAGGTAACATCTAATATTTCTTGTAGTGATCCTGCACATTGGGGCTTTTATTGGATGCAAAAGCTCTTAACAGGAGTAAAATTTTGCACATGTCTTTGTATGCTTTTAAATATTTTTTTCCTGGTATGCCAGGTCAGATATTAGAGCTAGGAAGCTCAAGTTTAATTCAGGACTATATACATTTTGACTGCTATGGCTGATACAGCTACTGCCTTATCTGTTCTAGTTATTAGATACATGAGTGAGTTAATATTTGTACTGCCCAGCACCATTGATGGTAAGTAACTTACTGATGGCAGTAACTTACTGCTGAATGTGATGTTAAGTACTATGCTGCTTGCAGTTCCTTTTTTCAAGGCTGTTTTGTGCCTCTGAAAGGCACAGCACAAAATGTTTTGTTGTGTTTTAAATTCTGACCATGTAAAAATCCTTTCGAAATGTGAATGGCACAGTGCATAATTTGCTGCATGTAAAATTTAAAAGTATTCTTCCCTGGTACCAGGGCAATCTCTAAAGTGGAATTCACTGCATTTAATTATGGTACATTTAGAATAATGGTGCTGAAATTTGATAGTTAACCTGCATTTATTTAGTTGGTAATTCCCTTCTTTTTTCTTTTGTTGAGTGCTTTAGTTTGTTGCAGTGTCTCTGAGCAGTGCTTCAGCAAAAGTACAGGGAAGTGTGTTAAGCCTGATTTATTTGCACAGGTTGTATAAACAGCTGTGTATAAACATATAAACAGCCTCAGTGAGATCAATACAACACTTATCATAAACTGTATTGCAGTTAGGCCTTTTTCCATCTCCTTGTCTGTCTGCTGAAATTAGTATTGTCAGGAGAATTCTGTTCTGTCCAAGCTTGTTTTCGTAATTCTGTTTCTAAACAGGTAAAAGCCTTGGCTGCAGGGGGTCTGTGGGAGGCTTTCCAATGATGGATCAGGAGGCACTGTTTGTATCTGCACTGGCTATGAACATACCAAAATATTTTCCTGTTTCATTTTCAGAAATTATTCTGTAGACTCTCATGAAGTATGTGTGTAAATACTGTCTGCCAGTTATGCAGTGTATTTGCAAATACAAATGTATTTTAAAATGTGGTAGACCAGAACTGACTAAATAGTGTTAAAATACTGAAGTAAACATTACTGAAGTAAAATTAAATTACTATGTCTTCACTGTTGTTTTAAAACCAGCCCAGACTAGTCCAGTAGCTTTCTTGGACTATGGAACAGATTCTTGTGGGGGGAAAAAAAAGTAGTTTTCAGATGTTACCTTTTTAAAATACAGAAATTCCCTCTGTAGAGCACATTTGTTGCCAATTTAATCTTGCCTTTCATTTCATGAGTTATTTCTCTTGAACTCGGTCTCTGCAGGCAATGAAATTTATATCTTGGTGCCACTAGTAGCTGTCATAAAATTATTCATCTCTAATTCTAGGCAATGTAATTGGTTCACTTCTTACTGCTGAGTTTGCTTCCTTCAGCAAATGAAACTGTTTGGAAACTGGTACTTTCTCAGTGCTTTATACCTTATACAAGCCTGGCATTTATATTTAATCATGTCTGGCACTTTAAAGAACTGGTTCTTGTTTTAAAATTGCATATTAGTTTCCTAAATGTTAACAGGGTGGGCTGTATGTAACCTCTTATGCCAAGTATCTGCTTTAAACCTTTTTAATTTCAGCAAAATATTTAGTGATTTCAGAGGAAGGGTAGTTCATGATGTCAGAAGACAGAACTGTGGTCTTGTACCTCCTTAAATTCCTGTGACTTCTAGAATGAAATGTTGAGACTTGGTGAGAAGTCCATATTGTCAGGAGTCTTTTTGTAATTTCTGTGAAACAGCTTTATAGAAGCTTCAGAAGAGTGCAGCTTGAGAGTGAATTCTCTGCAGAATCTGCCGGGAGCAGGAATCCACCCCTGGCATGTAGAATTGCCGGGGTTTGACTTTGTCAGTGGGAAGTGTTCTTTCTGCCTTGCAGGGCAGGTTATGTGATGGGGAATGCCTTTGATTGTGGGCACCTGCTGTTCAGGCTGGGGCTGTCTTCAGCCATGCTGGGAGCAGAGGAAGGTGATATTTCCCTTTACATTCTGCTGCCACTGTGTGCTTGAGAAGGTTCTGTGGACTCAGTGGGAGGCTGACTGGAAAAGGTACATGGCAGAAAGATGAAGTGATGGGTTTAAAGTATATAAAATCAGATTAAAGAAATCCTCTCAGCATAAAATAATTTGAGTTTGGGAGTGTGATAGGATAAGCATGTGCTCTCTTTCTTACTTATTTTTAGGCATCTACCTATGTAGAAAGGTCACTGTGCTGGATGGATTGTTGGCTGGAAAGACTGCAGCTATTCTTGTAGCTGGAAACCCAACTGAAGGAATTGTTTTGTGATTCCCTGCAGTGTTTTCTCATTACTTACAAGCTATACTAGAACTGTGTGCTAATAGCTGGGGGCAAAGCAGAGCTCCTTGCCGATGTTCTCAAAACTCTCTTGCTGAGCAAAGGTAGTGAGAAGTGGAAGAAGAAAGCTGCCAGAATTCAGGGAATTGGGAAGCTCAGACTTTGCTGTTGTGGGCTAAGTGCAAACCATACATGGAGAGGGAATGGGAAATCTCCATGTCTTGCTGGTAACAGTTCCATTCTCTTCATGCCCTCTATAGGGTGAAATGAGAGTACAGCATAAATCAGAATTGTTGAGGTTGGAAAAGACCTCTGAGATTGAGCCCAGCTGTTAATCTAACACTGCCGTGTTCACCACTGTCCCATGTCCTCAGGTGCCACAATCACACGTTTTTTGAACAGTTCCAGGGACTGTGGTGATTTCACCACTTTCCTGGACAGCCTGTTCCAGTTTCTTGAACTGGGCAGACAGTTCTGGTTCCTGTCTGATCACCCTTTCCGTGGAGTTCACATGATAAGTGTTGTTCAGTGGAGTGTAGGATCATACAGTCGTAGGCTAGAAATCAAATATAAGATGGATAAGGTTGCAGAGCACTTGATCACCTCTGAATTCTTGTAGTAGTTGATGCAACCGTGCCTTTCTGTGCTCCTTTATATTCTTGGATGGATCCCTTCAATCACCTCTTTTGTGCTGAAGACAATAGGTTAAGTGCTACAAGGCTGTATATCACAAATCACTGTTCAAACTAACATCAATTGTATTTCCTTACATTCTTAAACAGGTCTGACTATCTTATTTGTATTTTTAAATTGTTGATAAAATCTGAGTACAAACCAACAGTCAAGTTTTCCTTGGAGGGATCTCATACATCAAGCTCTGTCAGATTATTGTTAATATTGTTCTTTGAGTAGGAAGTAGGGACTATATTTTATCTGTTCAGTTATTATTGATGAGAAGGTCATTAGAGAAGTCTTTGGCATGAAAAATGGTTTTGGATTTTAAGTGCAGACTGCTGCCTAAAAGGAGACGTCTTTATCTTGCCAGTGCCTTTGGCTTGACATGTCCTTTTGTGCTCACAGCAGAATTTTTCAAGTCACAATGTGAGTCGTTACAGGCAAGAGGAATTTTTTTTATATACTGGAATATCCTTCAGACTTGAGTCCATTTTCACATGCTGCACCTTTGAAGTGTCAAGACTTATTGAGATTTAACATTTAGGATTGGAAAAGAATGTCTGAACTGATGAGAAGTGGATTTTTTTTTTCTTTTTATTTTTGCACCTGTTTAGGTATAATAGAGAAGTAAATGGACTGCTTTCCATATCAGTTAGTCTGTGTATTTGATGCTCGTGTGAGGCCCTCCAGATTAATTAGCAGGTTTAGTAAATGATACAGGAAAGACTAATCACATTCTGCATGTGTTAGCTTCAGAGTGCCAAGTCTTTGCTTTCATCCTCTTGAGTCTACAATGCCTGAAGTGCTTCAAATCCTGATAGCCTTGCTTATAAGATGTGCAATTTATCTGTTAAAAAGAGGGCTATTGCACAGATTCTGTATCACCTGCACTGACTGCTTTGTGCTCACTGTAATGTGATATGCTGAGTAAATAACCTCTTTGCTTATTAACACCTTCTCCCTCTATGATTCATAGATGTATTCTGAAAGTCCTCAGTAGTTTTCAACAATGTCTAGGACTTTTTTTTTCTAATGAAATGTATTTTTTCCTGATTAGCAAGAGCACAAAAAACTCCTTAGAGAAGACCTCTGTCTGAAGATCCGTGCAACTTCTCT